TTTGTTGCAACAACAGTGATTTTGAGTACTGTTTTACCCGCAACCACTCACTAAGGATGGTCGCAACGGGGCTGCTATATAAATAAACACCAATGGTACAGCTCTACCATTACAGAATACGATTCTACAATACCTTATTCCCTTTCATGAAAAATGGAGCAATTCAGAAAAAATATTAGAAATCCTTTTTGCGGTTCATCAAACAACATTGCTTCAATAACGTAGAAGATATCTATGGTAAAAAGGCCTTTGGGAAGCTTGTATTAAACTTACCATTTGTATGAATCTGAGTCGGCGGCGCACTGTTTCTGACCGTAAATGTTTCACCTATCTGATTTCAATCTTTCCTTCGTAAGCAGTACCAAGGAATTTTCGGTTCTGACGATGATGTCCAGACATTTTTATTTAGAAAATATGTAACATTTAAGGAAAGCTGATATTTTTTAAATTTATTAAATAATCTGAGAAAATATATTATATCCGAACTAAGAATCACGATGGACATGATTCTACTCACAGAATGAGATCACATTCAAATAAATTAAAAAGAGGATAATCAATATATTATGGAGGTGAAATAAGAAACAAAATAAAGAGTTTTAAAACATATTTGCTCATACTAGATTAATAACATTAGTAGTGATTTTAAAGAAAACGACTTTTAAGTGATACTTCACTTCACCTGGAGAAAGAACGTATGTTACTTAAAATCTAAAAATCACATTAACAGCTGAAAATCGTATTTCTTCAGCACGCTTATATAAGTCACTAACAATGACAAGTCGCAAGTCGCAATTGCAAGTCGAACACACGGAAAGTGCACTGAGAAAGGAGTCGTTGGATGTGAATCTGCAACACTTCCTGAGAGTTCATAGGGAAGAAGGAGCAACGAATACACAACTACACCGACGGAGAGAGTGTGTTGCGCAACGGACTCGTTCGAATGAAGACAAAGCGCAGCAGGGAAATTTGCACACGAGCCAGCACATACTGATGAACCCGGAACTTTGTTAACTAAATACTGAACGTCATCGTTAGCCGTGGGGAATTATATGAAGCTGAAATCCAACAAGAAGTGGAAGTGTGTCAGCGGTGTCATTTCAATTTATTCTCGAGAAATATCTAGATCGAGACCGACAGCTATAATTTGTAACGTACAAACTTAGAATTTAGCAAATTAATTTGGAGAGACTTGTCATTAATTCTGGCGAATTGAATACAGAATGTGGAGTATTCGTTCAGAACCACCATCATCCATCATAATTTTCTGCAAATTAATACGTTTTAGTATTCGAATATAAATGACTACACAATAGTAGAAAAAAATGAATGGGCTTACAAAAACAAAAAAAATATAGCTCTTTATAAAAAATAAATGCCTTGATAGCTTCAAGACTTCTTTTAAACGCTACTGACGTCTAAAGGAAAAACAAAAATAGACGCAACCGTTTTAAGCATTTTTATGATTTTGTACTGATTTTGAGCTTGTTGAGCGAGACATTGACGTTCAACGTAAAGTACTCAAATGATCCGTAAAGATACGTCCGATCGATCAGTAAAGTATACACATGTATACGATTCCTCGTTTTTCACAACAGACGGATATGATTGCTACACATCTAACCCAACAGCGACGAGAGCACGCCAGACGTATCTCCAGTAGAAGCTCTTCCCTAATACGCTAAGGAAAGATGACGCTTTTGAATAATTTTATAAGCAACCATCGAGGTAAAACCCCGTAATCATACTGCTTCTGAATTTGTAATTACCCTATTCACATGCTTGCATCGAAGAGATTTAATACAGAAGTTCACAGATAATGGTACAGGGAAAACATCCGGCAACCGAACTACACGTAATAAATGTTACGCTACCGCACACGGTGCCATCGTGGAAAAACTCGGAAACGATTTGACCTTTCAAACCAAGTTTTCGTATTCTTCACGAATTAGGTTTTTTAAAGTATTTTACAAACAGAGGGAGTTTTGGCCCTGAAATAATTGAAGGCGTTGTCATTGCCAACAATATTATTTATTACGAAAGAGTAGCTTAAATAGTACGTCTCTACGTCATAACTTAGTCCCGCCACAGTTTACGCCAAGTCTCGAAAATATAACTATTGTCCTTCATCAATCATGATCCTTTTAACACTTTAAAAACCTCATAACATACCCCTGAAACAAGCGCATCTTCGCACAATATTCTCCTCCCCAGCCTCCACATTAGAATTCAGTGACTTCAATTCCAAACATGAGAGCTGGGGCTGCAGAACGACATCCTCCAAGGGAAAATTCTATTCACCCGTATCATACAACAAAATCTAATTTCTCTGCCTCCTTTTCCAAAGTCTACTAATGAAATGGAACAAGAAATACCATTTCTTACAAATTGGTAGACTTGATACAGACAAAGAAGCATCTAAGAAACCAAAAAGTACAATTCGTCACATCACGAATACTATCCCACGTAATATACTGATCCTCATATCCCGCGCATACATTGCGCGTACGATCCCGAAAACGCTAGACGCACTCACAGCATACTTCAAATCTGCATATTCACAAGATTCACCTCCCATCGAGAAAACATCAGTAGAGAAATTTCTAAATGACCCAAATATCATTGCACCATTACCTATCGAATATATTGTATCTCTCCGGCAACGTAAAAAAATTAATCAAGAAAATCAATAACAAATCTTCCCCCGGAATAGATACCATATCTAACCTTGCTCTAAAACATCTTCCACCAAATGTTCTTGCATATCTAATTGCTATCTTCAAAAGATGTGTAAGACTCTGATTCTTGCTCCCATGCTGACAAAATGTAATACTAATTCCCATTTTAAAACCAAATAAATCCCCCAAATGTTCATCAAGTTGCAGACCAACTACTACCAACTACTACCAGCATTTGCAAAAAGTTTTCGAAAAGCTTATATTAATAAGATTAAACGCCTACCTTGATAAAATAAATGCAATTCTGCCACGTCACTTCGGACTTCGTCATCTTCACTCATCAACCCACCAACTATTAAGAATTGTTGAAAAAATTGCTCTAGCTTTTCAGAGTAAATAGTTCTGCGTAGTGGCCTTATTAGACTTCGCTCAGGCGTTTGATAAAGTCGGGCACAATAGATTATTATTTAAGTTATGTAAACTAGGATTCCCGGAATATCTATTAGAAATAATCAAATGCTTTTTTGGAAAATAGATTCTTAACAGTAAAAATGAACAAACCCTATCTTTTCTTGCACAAATTCTAGCCGGCGTTCCTCAAGGGTCCAACCCCTGTGAAGTGTCTTAAACCCTACCCCAGTCCTAATTCCTTCCCAATTCTGGCCGCAGAGTACTGACGCAGGGACGCGTAGTAGGATGCGGATACGCGGAGATGATACTTGGGGGTCCTCTGGTCTGTGACGGATATGACAATGTTAATAATTAACACTGGAGGATTACTTCGAAAGCGCCAAGCGCTCCCACTCTCTCCAAACCTCTTTAATATCTTCACGACAGATATCCCTGAATTATCAAACTCTGCCACGGCTCTCTATGCTGACGATACAGCAATCGTAACATCTAGCGACTTATTCTCTGAAGCAATAAATGACCTGAACAAGACTTAAATACCTTTTCTGCATAGACAAAAGTAGGGATTACAACCAAACACCTCAAAATTCAAAATCAACATTTTTACCTTGCGAAGAACAAAAATCCTGCTCCCTTTAATAATAAATAATTACCCGATAACATGGGCTCCTTCAAATTAATAAAATACTTAGGGCCGGTTTCATCAACAGCCGAGTAAAGTTGAGAGTAGTTACCCGAGAGTAACCATTTACTCCAAGATAGTAACTCTCGAGTAGAATATGAGCGTTTCACCACGCTTCTAGAGGGTTATTTTACTCTAGAGTACATACTCTCCTATTTACTCCGCAAACCCCCTTGCGCCAGCAACCATCCCCGGAAAAACCAACCTTGCTCCAACAAGAATTCAATCTCGTCTCTCAAAAGATATGTTCCGTCCCCCACAAGTTAGAGAAAATGTTGTGCCACTTCCCTCTCCATAACTTGCTTATTTTCTTGTTAGATTAAATTTCACACAATTAACAAATATCATCATAGAGGTACCTAGTTGGAATGTCCTCGTTCAGAAACAGGGGAATGATAGTGCGCTAATTTACAATTTCTAGTAACTTCGAGACACTATTGATTTTAATTAAAGCTAATACTCACCTTTAAAGCGGTAATTCTACTGATCTAGTAAAATAAATTTAAAAAAATAGTATCGTTGGCACCAAAAAAAGCCTTTCATTATTTAATTTCAAATATCAACGACAACTCACCACTAAAACAATAGGTTTGGACTTGAACGGTTGAACCACTCCATAGCACGGATTGACATGTGTTCTACGTTGGGTTCCAGGACGAAGATACTATTTTCATTTTTAAAACGAGTTACGAAGGGTAATGTGTTTGAACAAGTCCAACTACAGTAGAACCCCCATAATCGGAACTAATTAGGGATGTGGTCCGTTCGGATTCGAAAATGTTCGGATTATCCGAAAAAATGTACCGTACATGAACATATACATCATAGGATTACCAGAAAAATGGTGTGATGTGAGAAAATGGCAACGTAGCGTAGAGATCGCATCGTCAGATCGCATCATCAAGCAGAGTCATTTCTTTACGGTAAAAGATTACCGATTTTGCAAGTTCTTCTAAATGAAAATTACTGCTACATAAATATGTGATATACACCGTAGTTACCATGCAATAAAAGTTTCATTTCGACAACTTGTGTTTCAATAATTAGTTATTCAATTTTACAGTATTTGAAGTCCTTGTTTTATACTATCAATAAGCATTTTATTTATTTTGTTTATTTTTCCTCTATTCCGAATTTTGTTTGGTTTACCGAGATTTCGAACTTGCGGAATTCGGAATGGCGAGGTTCTACTGTAATAAAAAAAACAACAAAAAACAGTCAGTACTCACCTTCCCAGCGATGAGCGCCTGCACGGTGAGCACCTGCGCCGGCCGGTGGAACTCCAGCACCTCCCCGGGCAGCACGTGGCCGACGCCCGGGTCGAACCACACCAGGTCGCCCTGCGCACACAAGAGAGCGCGCGTTCAGCGGCGGGCCTCGCCAGCCACTGGCGGCGGCAGCGCCCGGTGCATGGCACTCGGCGGCGCCGCCACCGCGTTCCCACACGCGGGCGGCCACGCACACGCTTTCGTTCCGACGCTCGCGTGCCCCCGATGGGGCACGCCAGCCGTCCCCCCCCCCACTCATCGCTCCTCCGCGAGGCTTCCATCGGGCGCCGTGACCGAAACAAAGTGCATTGAACATGCTTTGGTTGCGATTGGTAATTGATTAAAACTAATGCGAATATTGCGTTTTTATTGCAAGCTTTTAATTGGAATGTTCTATGATTAACTACACATGACTTTCCAGTGTGCTCTCCACGTGACTAGGCAAGACAACTTAACCAATGAACCAATGAAGTCCATTGAACATGGTTTTCATTCAATCCGTAATTGATTAAAGGTACTGCAAATGTTATTCTTTTAAATTTATGACTGGCTTATAATATAAATATCCCATGATAAAGTTCACATGACTGTCAAGTTGTCATGACTGTCGTTTGCATTATGTTTCTGCGGTTAGGTGTGACCTCGACGAGGCAAGACAACCCAACCTTCCAACTTGATAACTCCCCCACGTGATTGCTTTTCTCGTATAGTTCCATCTAAAGCGGTGGGCTGTGACCGAAACAAAGTTAACTGAACACGGTTTGGTTGCGTTTAGTAATTGATTAAAGACAATGGGAATATTTCGTCTTTTAATAAGTGGCTTCTAATTTAAAATTCCTAATATTACGTTGACATGAATTTACAGTGTTTGAATTTGGTTTCTGCGATTCGGCGTGTTCAGAACGGATCGCTTCTACTTTGTCAACTACCCTTCGTGACTTCTTCTCGAGTAGTTTCAATGAAAGCGGTGGTCGAAGACCGAGACAAAGTTCATTGGTAGACATTCACGGTGTGGTTTGGATCGGCAATTGATTAAAGGTTTTGTGAATGTTACGTCTTTTAAATTATATTATGACTTATATTATGACTAGCGTTTAGTTTAAATGCCCTATGATTACGTTAACTTGACTTTCCAGGGTTTGCATTTAGATTCTGCGGTTATGTGTGTCCTCAATGGAGTAAGACAACTAAATCTTCCACCTGACCAACTCTCCCTCGTAATTGTTCCTCTCGTGTAGTTCCATCGGAAACGATGGTCCGTGACTGAAAGAAAGTTCATTGAACATGGTTTAGATTGGTAACTGAGTACACGTAATACAAAAATGTCGACTTTTTAATGGCTGACCTTTTATATCAAATGTCTGATAATTACGTTTCTGCAGTCCTGTATGGCCTCAGAGGTGCATGCCAACCCAACCACCTCCGAACAATTCTTCTCGTACACTTCCGTAGGGACGCGAGAATACGTTGAGAGAAGAAGTTCTTTTGACTCCTTTTGCTTTGAACTAAAATTCGAGTAAGGATTTAATACCTCATATGATATTTTTTTCAGAGAGTGTACATATATTAAGACTCGTTCTAGCCGTAGCACCTCGCTTACAATAACAAGGTGACCTAGTGTTCAGTTTCGTTTTTGCTCCCCTGTTCTTTCGAGCCCGTATTAGGTATGGCAGGTATTTCCTACATCTTCTCTTTGTATTTGTGTTCGAAAAATTCTCTTTAAAGGAAGTTATGATTCTTAGGCCATAATCTACACTATTAACCATTCTTGGATGGTATTCCCACTTCCAAGTACGAATTGTCAGAAACGTTCGAAGAAGCTTCCCAATTAAGCTATTTTCACTTGTGCAAAATGTTCTCGAGTTCCCTGTAGCAATTTTTTATTATTATTATTATTATTATTATTATTATTATTATTATTATTATTATTATTATTAGTCGTCGTGTCGGTCTTGTGGCGCAAACGGTTGCGGCAGCCGTCGTCTGCGTCGAGGAGGCTGCAGGTTTGAGTCCTGCGCAAGGATGGTGGTATATGTGATTGTCCCTTCACCCCTCATTAGCATCTTATCACCGCTCATTGATAATTCCAGACGTAACAACATTGTCTTGTCAAGGGATGTAGTCGTAAATAGCTGATCTCCATAAGTAATCACGTTAATCTTTCTGGGGCCTCGGAATATAACGTGTAGCGTTATCCGATGGCCGGTACACAAATAATAATAATAATAATAATAATAATAATAATAATAGACGAAAAGGCACGCCTATCTGATCTATATAGCCATATTAATCACGATAACTCTTCCAGAGAAGTATGTCGAGATCACAAAATATGCTCCGCTGGTTGAAAGTATCAAGAGACAGTTGCACATGGACCAAGTGGGAATCATACCCATTGACATCGCTAGCACCGCAGTAATTCAGAAAACACAACGTTTAAAAGACCGGAAGATTTATGTGAATATTTATAAGACTATGCAGAAGGCTGTGGTCATCTTAACAACTGAAATAGATCGAAAGTTTATTGAGGTTAGATTTGAATTCCAAACAAAGACGCGTTGATAAATACGCTTTTGGTCATGTATAACCTGTGTATTTGTCCTTATAATAACAGAAAATAGATGTTAATAAATAATCGTATTATTATTATTATTATTATTAATATTATTATTATTCCGGATCCACCATTATCGATTCCATTTTGACGTTTCTTCAGCATGTTATGTTCTTGTTGCGTGATATACTACCTTTACTTTTACGAGACAGTCGTTACGAAACTCCCACGTACGCCGGTTTTGCACTTTCCACTTTCTACAGAAGAGACATTTTCTACCCGACGAGACGAGAAGCCCACAAATCAATCACAGAGTAGAATCACTATGAGGAAATTTGTTTTAAATTTTTTTGTTAGTACAGTGCCATGGGAGCAAAATGTATGTGGAAAAATATAATCTTGTTGAGGAAAATTATTAATTTAAAAAGCTTGAAACATCTGCAATTTTGATGTCACTGAAGATTTACAAACGAATCATCAAATTCCTTTATGTACCATTTCATTACGTATAATACCAATCAACAACATTTTTCTTTTACAACTCCCGCAAGCGGCATTTGCGAGAGAAAAAATCGAACTATTCTTGATAAAAAATCAATTTTGTTTCTTTTTCAACGCTTCAGTAAATTGAAAAATATTTCTTGAGCGATGAATCCATAGATTAGTTGTACCTTGACTTCGATGGTGTGAGGTATATGTAGGGTGAGCCACCCAGAGGAAACCTTGACATTACTGGTGGAAGGTATTCGTGGAGTGGTATCACCAACAGACAACTACGTTGCTGGTTGAAGGCATCCATGAAATGTAGCCGTCCGTAAGAACCTTTGGCATCACAGGTGTGAGGTATATGTGGGGGAGGCACCCGTAGGAGAAGTTGACGTCGCTGGAGGAAGGTATCTGTGGAGTGGTGCCACACCAGCAGGCAACCTTGGCATCACTGGTGTTAGGTATCCGTCAAGTGGTGCTGCTCTTGATCGGGAGCGGCCGCCCCTCTCCGAGCGGCGCACCGCGCACCCTGAAGCCGGCGCGAAGAGGCAGCGAAGCGCGCGCGGCGAGCAGCGGCGCGACACACGCGCCCCGCCCAAGGACTCTCCAGAACGGCACGCAGAACCACACACAGCCCATGACGACAGGTCAAGACTTGTGGCGATCGTTAAATAACGATAGTACGAACTTTTATTATACGAATTCCTTGATACCTAGACTTTTAATACTTTCCCTTTAATGCAACTCAAACTTCGTTATGCCGAAATACTGGACACTTGGAAACATTCCTCTCTTCAGAACTGAAATTAATTCATTTTTCTTTGTGGGTATTAATTTAATTAATTGATGATTTTTCAACATTAACTGAAGCTCACTTGAGATTACGGGGACCAGAAGCGATTGATCTTCAGTTTTATAGCTTCTTGACATTTCTCTGCAAAGTGAAGAAAAGTGTCTTGCCTGTTTCGAAGAGACCGGATATCATTTTCGAATGTTTCACAATGTGTATGAATATTCAAAAAATTAAAGATATATAACATTAATATCTCTGATTCGTATTAGCAGGTACACCGAATGACACGAGCGGTAATTCGTTTCTCGTCTTTGCGTTGCATTGATGTCTGCAAAGGTAGCATCGGAATCATTTCAATAATGGTTTGCGCCTCCACCCTATGGGTTTCGCTAGCCGCGAAGAGGAGCATCTGCCAGGTTTATGCTTATAACCTGCAGTCAGGCGATAAATTTTATAATGAAGGTGTTGGCGTGAAATTATAGCTCTTCAGCTAATATCTTGTGCCATATTAAACTAAGTTTCAGTTAAACTAAACTAATAAGGAGAGAAGCGTTTTAGGTCTTTTGATCGCAAAAAATAACTAGATTCTACATTAATTTATTTTCAAGCCGTGTAGTGAAACAAAAGTTAGAATATAACATTATTTTGTATAGAATACGATTGAATCCAATAGCGAGATTTTGGAGGAGCAAACTTTAGTGGGGCCTGCGCTTAAGTCATCCTGAAAAAATTGGTCTGATTGACGTGAAGTGTTTGGACAATTTTTTATTCCTATATCCTTTTTTATGACCACAAAGAGGAGAGCTTCATTTTATATTTTTGGATTTTTAAAAAACGCATCAGAGATCAACAATGTCTCCATGCCGACAAGAGCAAGTTTCTCCTAGTGTAAATTTCACCTGACAAGGTTGAGATAAAGGAAATTAATATTAGACCTACTACGTGAAAAAACAATTTAACTATTTTCTTACTTTCCAAGTACAGTTTGTGTTGGCCCGTTCTTATTCTAAACTATTCGCAAGGATGAACTGCCATTGCTGGAGGAAGAAGTTCCTGAACGATTCGTCAATAAATATTTGCACTGGCATAGGAGTTGAAAGTACGTCGTATAGTGATGCGTGTGGCACGTATTCAAAATTTAAGTTTCTTACACAGAATGTAACTATCAGCGCCTACGTCAAGCTTTGTTTTTTAATATAATATTTCTTAACATGATATTTTGTAACATGGCTATTCTAA